ACCCCCATCACCACCCCCATCAGCTCCACCACCACCGCTGCCGCCGGCGCCGCTGCCACCGTGAGAACCACTACCAACAGAGTCGATAGCGACAACCTGGAAAAGGACGCGAGAGCACGTGGAGAAGTCAACGAGAGCGGGGCAGCAATGGTCACAGATAGACTCAAATCGAGAAGGATCGCATTCTCCTCAAGACGCAGCCAGCGTAACACCCCGCTGAAATTTGATGTTGGTCGATGAAGGAGTCGTGGAAGCGGCGAACGGCGTTGTCTCTCTCCTCGAGGCTAAGAAACCTATGAACCACGGGGAAACATAATGCGAGCACACATATTACGGCAGAAAAACCAGGACGACAACAGCACAGCCAAATAGCGGACACACGTGGCCACCCAACGTGCCGGGTGTACGTGTAGTGTTGCCCGATTTTTCTGGGGGACACACACGCGTTGCTGCTGATGGTGGAACGACGAAGGACACTTCCACCAGGTTTCCTGCTCGCAAGTGTATACGCTCGTTCACAGATTGCATCCTCATGCCGCTTTGTTGTGAACAAGGGTTCGACGGAGGCCAGCCGTATGCAACGGCCAATGACCATCTCGTACCATGTTGACGAGCTACGCTTCGCTAGTAGTGCGGGTAGTTCGATCTTCATCAAGTCTGATCAACAGGGGATTCACTGTATGTGTCTCCCTGAAGGTCTTCATGATTCATTGAAGGGGTTGAAGGCATCAATCTAAACTCGAAACGATTCGCGTTTTTCATCACGAAAGGCCACAAGAAAACAACGCTCAACAAGTGGGAGCACGGCGAAAGAAACCAGAAGGTTTGGCAGAAACGCACGGCCACCTCGACCGATACAGAGATGGCTGGTCGGGTTTCTCCCTCAAGTAATCAAACCGTTTTGCATCCGGTAGTATGAAGCGCATGGGAATTGCACCCAAAAAAACGTCTTCGACAGTCGAAAGGGCTGCCCACGTTGCTTTGATTGGAAGACATCCATGCCGACAACCATGACCCCCTAGACCAGCTGATGACAGCAGAAAGGTGCCACAAACACTCTCAGCGGCAACGCGGCGGCCCCTCTCACCGAAGGATCACGTCTCGGGTATTGCCCCTCAACGTGATCTTGTCTGGCGCTTTTTGAACCGCCTTTCGCAGGGTGTGGTAGGGGCACTTGGGGGGCAAATTGGACACCGTGGCTGGAAAATCGGCGAAACGCATGCAATGCGTTCACGCGTCGTCAAAAAACAACGGCAACGCGGGGCGTGGAAGAAAAGCAAGAGAGAGTCAACATGACCCAAGAACAGGCGGTGATGCGGAGGCGGGGGCAACAGCACCGTACCTTTGCCTTGACGTCGAGCGATGTGGTTACCTCAAATCCTTCGCGGAAGGTAAATCAGCGGTCAAGGTCGCCCCCCCTCGCTCGTCAGTGGGTTATAAGAAAAAAACAAGCGGGTTCGCACCCGTTCCCGGCGAAAAAAAGTTCGGTGTTCTTGCTGACGAGCGGAAAGACCATGCTGAAGCATTCTCGCCATTGGATCGAAGACCTACGCCGCAAGAAATCTCCAACGTCTGAACACCGTGGGACACTCTAGGCTGCGGGCTTCGGGGCGCTGTTGACGACATCGCTTCATGGGAGCGTAAAGTTGTGAGAAAGTTAGTTTTGTTGGCAGGTATTGGTCGGGAGCTTTCGTCAAAACACACAAGACTATATATAGTGTAGTCTATTTTGCACGCTCACTCTAGGGTTTGGGAAGCTTGCGGAACTGACTGGCGGAATGCGCAGGCGTGATTTTTTTGGATATATACTATAAGTATTGAGCAACGGCGAGAAGCAGGCACACCCCGTCAAACCACACCGCGAAACCGGCCAGACAGTGCAACAAAGCTTGGAAAACGAGTTGGTGGAGAAAAACCTGGCGTTGTGCCTTCTACTTATCGAAGTCAGGAAGACCTCAATCATGCTCACACCCAACACAAATCGCTGGCCGACTAAATATTAACATATCAATACTCTACACAGCTGCGGCCATAGCAGGCAACCTGAACTCGGTGCCGTTCAAGTGTTCTGACGTGGCCGTTCATCTCTCGTGTGGATCGTGCGTGTCCATGCGGCGGGGAGGGTCTGTGTGTGTCGGAGGGGCAGGTGCTTGACGTATATTGGCGAAAGTCTCGCCGCGAAACTTTTGCTTGACAATTTTGTCGCGATTATTGTCAATGGCAAAAAATTTCCACGCTTTTTGGCGCCACGTGTTGCTCCCTTGAGGAGCGCACACGAGAACAGTTCGAGAAAGCTTGCAAAATTCAACTTTTCTCGCAACTTGATGCTCCCACAAAGCCGATCAACGATACCCACCATATGCCCACTGTGGTGAACCTTCGTGGTCGGCCCACGCAATATCAAGCGCACGCCCTCCCAGGTACACATTGTCGTTGTTGGCACCTTGGACATATTCAAGGGCATCCCGGGGGTCTTCAAACGTCACCAGCCTGGTAGGGCGAATATTTCGCGGCTGTGGGTCACAGGTAAGTTTCCCGAGAATAACGTTTCTGTTCGTCTAGTCTACACTTACTTTGCGCATGAACGAAACATGTCAAGTACGTTCAGCGCAGCAGAAGAACACATTGGCCATGCGTTTCATCTATTGTCTCCATGTAGCCTCCGACCCCTTGCACCAGAAACACTATGTGCCTCGTCACCACTGTCTGTGTGCTCGTTGCCCGCTGGAACAAACGACTACCAGAACATGATTACTGGCACATAATCAAGAACAACAGATGTCGTGTACGTTCGTTTTGCTTGCTGGCTTATGGGCCAGTCTTACGCGCGTCGCAAAATGTTGCCCAAACAAACGGCGGAAAGAAGTTGCAAAGTGAGTTTGCAAAATGAATCTGGCGCAACTGTGACGAGACATTCATTACTAGGCTCCCTGATCCCGATCGTTCAAGTCGTTCAGGGCTCGGCCGATATAGTCTAGGTATTCCTTGGTCGTGCTATCGTCGACGAAAATGACGATCACAGTCGACTTGAACGCCAACGCGTGGGTTTGAGCAGTGGTCCAACGAAGCGGGGAGCCGCACGCAACGAACACACTTAGAGTTTCATCTTTTTTCGTCTTAAAAGCTTGAGCTCATTGGTCGGAATCGGTATTGTAGTGCCACAGAGTTATACATATCCTGTTCTATAGATGTGAGCATATGCCCCGATTTCCGGCCTACTTGCTCATTGCACCGCAAAAACTACTATACGAAGTCGACGGCAGATTTGAACAGCTGGTGCAACAACGCTCAACGCGTGAGTGAGTTCAGCCGTATCTCACGAGAAGAATCAGCAGTCTTACGCAAAATCTGTGACACTCACGCATGTCCGGCGTAGGCGCAAGCTAGCACTTCATCTTCGCGGACTTTCACGGTGCGCTCAAACCCGACATCCAGGACCGGCCCCATTTCACTCATGAGGGACCGGAAGTTTTCAGGTGTTGCCGCCCAGGGTATATTCCCGACGTAGACGGTGGATCTACAAAGTGTTGCATGACAAGGGGGGGGAGGGAGGCGTACCTGCCAAATACTTGTAGGTGGGTGATTGTCCAATATCGAGATACCATGCCAGTGTGAGATGTCGAGGAAAACTGTTACAACGTAGTCAGGCACAGTTTACCATAGGTGCGACTGCGGCAACTAGC